ATTTCCGTGTTTCCTCTAAAGGTGACTCATCTCACTCAGGCCACTCTGAGAGGCGCATCGTATTCCTTGCGTCCGAGGGCCTGAGCGTGTTAACCTACCGACCTCTCTGGACAGGAGGTAACTGCTCTCAGGTAAGTCAAGGTACCCAGACAGGGTGCTCTCCTGTGGTCGACAGAGATGCATCTGACTCCGGCTGCGAGTTCTGACCCCACCGACACGGTGCAGGTGCCCCAGGCCTGCAGCCACGTGACCCAGGCCTGCAGCCACGTGACTCAGGCCTGCAGCCACGTGACCCAGGCCTACAGTCGTGTCCCCTGACCCACAGGCCAGCTCACTGATTCCTGCTCAGCGACAATCACCAAACTACAGACAGGTTGGGCTTCGCCCTTGGAGGGAGCCCCCAGGATGATACATTTTGCTACAGTTTCCCAACAGAATGGACATATTCTGCTGAAGCTGCAGCCGCTTGCCCGTCTCCATCCCAGGACTTCCTCTCGGAAGGATGTGAAGCTACCAGGAACGAACGAAGACAGAGCAGACGTGCGTCCACGCGTTCCCGACGGCCTGTGAGGAGCCATCGGATGCGTCCCGGTGTCGTAACATCAAAACAAAAGAGACGTGCTGTTGGGAGGAGGGTATTCACAAGCTTTCGTTTCTCAGATGCACAAAATTTAACATTGTAACATTTTTACCAAAGAAAGGAAATTAATTTGGAGCTTGAGAGAAAACATCAACACCAGCCGCTCTGAAAGGCCGGGCCTGGCCGGGATACAGGTTGTTCCTCCCTCGGGCCTTGGAGTGCCTTGAGCAGAAAGGGTTTTAAATATCATTTAAATAGCAGCCTCCCGCATTAGCATCCCCTCCGTCAACAGATCTCACTTTTGCACAAGTTCCTCGCTGTCAATCAAACGCTACATGAAATTAGCCTGGGTAGCGGCAGTTTTGCAGACCACGTTTCACAAGTCACCCCGTTTTATGATTACATATCAAAGACGTTCCCGATGCCAACCAATCTGTCAGCATTTAAAAGAGGCACTGTGGGGGGAAGGGCAGGCAGGGTCGATGCGACGGGTGCTGCAGCGTGTAAACCGCGCTCCCGGGGGCGTCTGACGTCCCTGCGTCCCCAGCGCCTGGGCAGTTTCCCCTGATGAGGAAGGTTAATTCCTGGGCATTACCCGTCAGGGGGATTGAATTTCCTCTTGAAACATTAAACTCAAAACTTGAAGCTCCCAAGCCCGGTCCAGCTCCTATTTTTTTCAATACCTGTACCCAGGGCCAGCTTGAGGGACAACGGTGAGGGGACAAGTCTCACGATGCTTTGAAAGCAAGTGTCATAGGGAAGAATTCTGCAGCCAGCGCACCCGGGGCTCACGACGGCTCCATCACGTGCTAAACAGACGACCTGTTGGTCATCGTATGAGCTTCTACAGCATGAAGAGGCCTTTTATAAGCAACAGCCTTGCTCACGTGATGGGTCTTCCCGGCTTTTATCACCACTCTCACCGTCCAATGCATCTATTTCCCGGTGCCATCAAACCTTAGTGTGGCTCCACCAAACCCACGTGGAAGATGAGGAACGTGGGAAACGAGTAGAAACGAAAGGCCCAGAGGTCCTTCATTCCCATCAGGGTATAAAGGGCCCACAGCGGCTCAGGGCTGCATGTCCGGGGATCATTCAAATGAAGGGCTCAAGCGCTCACGGAGAAACTTCAGGCAAAATCGGAAACCAGGACACCATCGTGGACACGTGGCGAGGGGGGAGGGGCGTCCAGTTCTCCCCAGCGCCTCCGAAGTCAGGCCACGTGGGAGAAGGCTGGGTCCATCCTGGAGCCGGGGGCCCTGCCCGTAGTGACACTGAAGCCGCTGAGATTTCATCTGCCCGTTGAATCAAAACCGAAAGGATCAGCTCCAACCAGATGGGCGGGAAAGCAGCGATCACGGCCCACCAGGGCCTTTGTTCGAATTTAAAGGGCCCTGGACCTGCAGGAGGGTCTTCAGCCGGGAAGGGGAACAAACCACATCTGCTCATTCTCCGTTTCCCAGAGCTCGCCACGTGTCTGGTGTCTGGCGTGGAAACACGAAAGGAAACACACCTCGCCCTGGGGGGGGGGCACAGCTCGGAGTCTTTCTCACTAGCCTTGGACAACGGCAAGATTCAGATGACTGTCCCCAGGGCCACCTTAGGGACCTCACGTAGGAGTGAGGCGGAACTCAGACCCTGCACACTCTGCGGGATCCAGCTATTCTAGAAAACATCTAGAAATTTCTAGGACCACCTGCCTGCCGTTGCTAGGAGGGTGACCGCGAGGGGCTCCCGGGCGAACATCACACGCTTGTAATGATGTGTGGACAGTTCCGCAAAAAATCTCACTCCGACGGCTCACCGTATACAGAAATATGTTCATGAACGTGTGCTGCTTTGGATTCCGCGAAAGCTAATTGGTATTTATAGAGTCCAAACACTTTTCTAAAGAGCCCCTTTAATCACGGTCATGCCAGGAGGAGAGAGCGCTTTGTGTGAGGAAAACAACCATGTGTTTTATATTAAAAAACCTCCTGAATATATTTCTTTCCGTTCATGTTGCCACTCAAGCCCCCAAAGAAAGGAGCTGAAGACGCTAGCAGGGTGCGGGGTGAGGAGCCCATTAGGGCTCGTGTTCTGCACGGGCCTGGGGTGGGCAGGGCAGGGTGGCCGAGCGCCCGGGCTGGAGGCCCCTGGGGTGCGGGTGCCACGGCCTCCCACTCAGGCCCCGGGTGAGAGCCCGCCCCCCACCTCCCCGCCGTCGGCAGCTCAGCTCCAGCACCGTTTCCCGGCTGCTTTACAAGCTGCCGGCAGGGATTTAGTACTTTCAGGCCGACTTCAACACCTTCCTCCCATGTTTTATGCTCCCCTCCCCCAGTTTTATGGTCATTACCCAGCTGCAGAAGAGGGCTGCCGATCAGGAGAGTGACTCGGAGCGCTGTGGGGTGCGGGTGCGGGTGCGGGTTGGGGAGCCCTTGGCCCTGCCCCTCCCGACCGGCTCTCAGAAAGAGGGGCCTTGTTAAAGCAGCAGGACCACGCGGGCCCGCCGGGGGCACACGCTCCGTGTTCTGGGCTGACCCTTTATTGTGGAGAAAAGGGAAGTCTCTCCCCTGGGTGTGGCCTGTGGGGAGGTGGGATGCACGCCCTGTGCCCAGGGCCACCCGCTCAGCGACGCCTCCACCTACGGGACCCTCCTCTCTCCGACCACAGCTGCTCTAACAAACTCATCTCTGCTGAGCGAGAGCCTCAGCTCGACGTTGCCACTGAAATGTTGGCACGAACCTCAGCCTTCAGGAATTTCTCATCTCAGCTCCTTACCTTACTGTCTGAAATCCTTCTTTAAAAGGAAAGTGGGGCCCGGTTAGTGTGGCTCAGGGGTTGAGCGTCGACCTAGGATCCAGGAGATAGGGGTTCGATTCCCGGTCAGGGCACATGCCCGGGTTGCGGGCTCGATCCCCAGCAGGGGCGTGCGGGAGGCAGCTGATTGGTGACTCATCATTGATGTTTCTATCGCTCCCCTTTTCCCTTCCTCTCTCTGAAATCAATAAAGATATATTGAAGGAAGGGAGGGAGGGAGGGAGGGAGGGAGGGAGTTGGGTGTGCCCAAGGCCAAGCCCCCAGGGACGGAGCCCGGGCTCAGGCAGGCTGCATAGTCTGAGAACCAGAGCCCCTGGGCGAGGCGGCCGGAAGGAGGAGCCGGGCAGCAGGTGCTCTGGGGACAGGACACCCGTGAGCTCAGCACCGCATCCAGCGCTGGGATGAACCACTCCCAGGGCCCTGTCTGCAGGCTCGGGCTGTGGGAGAGACGCAGAGTCGCTTCAGTAAAAACTCTGCCCAACGCTGTGCTGCTGGCCGGTGACAGGAGAGAGGGGACTGGGACACAGCGGGGCCTGGGGCCCTCAGGACAGGTGCACACGTAGGAGCAAAGATGCCGAGATGGATCCTTTAACGCCCAGCAGGGCAGGGCCAAAGCCAAGGGCACACAGACAGGGCGCCTGCCTCCGGGGTGCGGGGGCCCGTGGGAGCGCAGGGAACGCCGGCACATGCCAATACAGCCATGGCTGCACATGTTCGATGCTCCAGGCGAGAGCAGCCAGGGCGAGAGGCGGAGGCGTTCCCTGCAGTGACCGGGGTGCAGAACCGGGAAATGCTCCTGAGGATGTTGCCTCTGTGGCTGGACCTGGGTCTTGGCGGACGTTTGCAGGGTGGAGTCAGGAGAAAAGCTTTTCGGATGCAGGGGTGGAAACTGCAAAGCCCCGGGGCCAGGGAAGGCCTCCCCGGTGGGCAGGAGCACGCTTCCTCCTGGCCGCCTCTGTCTCGTCCATTTCTGCCCCCTCCACCCCCAAGCTGGGGCCCACTGCCGGGCTTGTCGAGGGAGAGGGACATGCTCAGGGTGTCCCGGCTGCTGTTTCCCATCTGAATACGCACACGAGCGGGGGACACTCGGGACATAGGTACGCATAGTGTTCTCGCTGCTGAGACAGAAACCATTTCAGAGGCAAGAACCAGCACAGATTCGAGGCCCAGTCCTGGGGGTCAGAGATCCAATCAAGGCGTCCACAAGGCTGAGCTCCTTCTAGAGACCTCAGAATATCTTAAGATATTTTATTTTTATTTTTTATTGACTTTTTTTTTTGAGAGACAGAGAAGAAGGGAGAAAAGGAGAGAGAGAAACACCCCATCAATGTGAGAGAGAAACTCATCAATCAGCTGCCTCCTGCAAACCGCCTACAGGGATCGAGCCTGAAACCCGGGTAGGTGCCCTGAGTGGGAGTTGAACCTGCGACCTTTGGGATGACACCCAACCAACCGAGCCACACAGGCCAGGGCTATACCTTAAGATATTTTAGAGAAACAAACACACCTGACGGAACTGCAGACAGCATCCTAAACATTTACATACTAACTATAAAATCTATACCCATGAGCCCGTCATCAAACTTAATAGAAATTTGCCAATTGATTTAAAACCCCTTATTTTCACTTGCCATAATTTTCCTTCCTCTCACATAACCTGAAATAATTACTACCTTCTATTTTGTGTTAACCCCTCCCTATTTTTCCATATAGATTTATCGCACCAATAAGGATTAATAATATAATAATAATATTTTTCATTTTTAAAGGTTTTTACACAAATGGGATCATACTATATGCATGACCTTTACTTGATTTTTTTTTTCCTGACATTACATTTTCTCAGTTCACCTGTAGTGATGCAAGTAGAAGTCCTTGACTACCACTCTGCTCTATATTCCATAATACAAATCGTCCATAATTTACTTACTAATAGACATCTGGGAGATTGTTTTCCAGTTTCTTGCTATTAGAAACAATGCCTTGAGGATGCTTTTGCGTATCCCCAGTCTCACAAGCGAAGCTTCTCTGGGCGGAGAGGTAGCGGTGAAGTTTCTGGGTCTCGATGTGCGTCTTCAGCTCCGTGACTGGGCAGACAACTGATTTTTGCTCCCGGGGCGGGCACGAGGGTCCCCGCTGCCCCGGTCACACCAGCACTTAATGTCGTCACACTGCGGTTTTCCTCCAGGTTCCTGGGTGTGAAAGAGACACATGTAGGAATTTGACGAGCATTTTTGTGATTACTAATGAGGCTGGACACCTTTCCGTGCATTTATTCATAATTTATGTTTACTTTTATGTGAAATGTCTGTATTCTTGCCTATTTTCTGATGTTTTGTCATTTTCCCATCCATGCGTAGAAATTTGAAATATACATTTTGATGGTAAATTTCTTTGGTTATCTTTGTCGTCATCGTTTCCCCCCAAGTGATAGCTTCTCTTTCATGCTTTTTCATTAACAAAACTTCCTACTTTTAATCTAGCGAAATACATTGTTATTCCTTTTATGGCTTAGTATCCTAACGATATTCTAAAAGTTTCAACATGTGTGTCGTTCACATCTGGAATTGGCTATCCATGTATGAGGGAGGGATGGAGTCTTATTTATTTTTCATATAAATAATCAATTATCCCAACAGTGTTGCTGACTACTTCACAGTCCCCCCTCTCTACCAGTGCCACCTCTGTCAAATGCCACGCTACATACGAAGAGTTCGGGGGTGTCGCCACCTTGTTCCGTTAATCTATGTCTCGGTGTTAATGCTAATGAAGGAAACAGTATCGTTTTATGAGAAACCTCAGTACCGAGGGTGGAAAGCAAAGCGCCTCCTTTCTTCCAGCTCTTTGTTTTCCGGGACAGTGAAGCTACATTGTAGCGAATCCTT